GATCACCCTATGGAGTCTCAGCCCTCCACCAGCCGAGATAACAGTCTCGATACGGATCACTCTGTGAACATGTTGAGCGCAGTATCTCACTAAAATTTGGATGTCGAGATTTTTCAGATATTGCAAGCCTTTTCATCCCTGCCTAACTCAGTGTGGGTCCAAAGTCGCATAAAATGCACAGAAATCCTGTTCTGAAAACTCATGGAAGCAACGCGGACGAGTTGTGCCCTCTTCATCCTTCGCCACACTGGCAGCAACACCATGGAGGTGGACGCCAAGTAGAAGGACATGTTGAAATGCATAAGGAGGAAACCGGGGGATTGGCCGTGTGGGCTAAATCGTGTTTTGCGGGCCACTTTGAGGGCAAACTTCTCGGCTAGAAGGGCCCGGATCGAGTTGGACTTGACGCGGTCGCTTGGTCAGAGAGACCTCTAATAAAATATGTGGAGTACCCTAGTTTTGATGAGACACTGCCTAAAACATGCAACTTCACGAAGAAAATTTTTTTTAGGGGTCTAGGTCTGGTCAGGTGGGTAAATTTTGCGCTGCGACCGAGCCCACAAGTTTCAGTTTGAATCATTTTGATGATGTTTTGTGATTGATTTTGCTAGACCTCTACTAAGCTGTCGCTTATAGTCTGCATAATTCCTATTTACCTGACATTCTTCGTTGAAAAAAGTATGAACTCAGTAGACAGTGTTAAGAGTTTTCAAGCTTATATTTTCTTCGGCTCAGTCAAATAAGGGAGGTACTTTTTCTTGAGCATCATCTCGCGGGAAATACCCACAATCATCACACTGCATTACCATTCATCAACTATGTAATGCTTCGCTATGTCCGTTTCCGTCGCGTCGCTTACTAATCAGCGTCAGGGGCAAAATGATATATTACCTGCTGATGACAAAACATGATCTTCAGCTTGCATATGCATCATCGGGTTTGCCGATATTGTGTAGAAGAGAATATGCTTATTCGTGCTCAAGAACGTCGACCAAATCCTTTTCTTGCTATATACCAAACAAGAGACAAGCAGCGTTCCCTTTGCATGGGTTGAAATCAAATAAAGGCTTTTTTACGTATAGGCTCAAAATGTAGCAATTGTCGCCGTATTATCTAACCCTAGAAAGTTACCTAGCGACATAATTGATTTCAAGCAAACAATAGAAGAGAGTGATCATGGTTGAGTTCATTCTACAAGCCAGGTGATGTGGGAGAGTGGGTTGAGCTTACATTTTATTGTATTTGTTTACTATGATATATGTTTACTATGATATCAGAAACTTTCAGAAATTAAGTTTTTTGCCGAATTTTTGATCTCTATCTGACAAACGATATATTCGACAACGAAATTTTTGATTGGTTTGAGAAAGTCCGACTAGTTTTTTACACTCCCATTCCTCATAAATTTTTGATTAAATAAGTGTGCGGGTTTTTCTGATTTTCTATTATAAAAGCTACCTGTTTAGCTCTGTTCAATCAGTTTTTCTTCCATAATTCTGTTGAGTCATGCCTCATTCATAATCGCTCACGGAAGTAAATATACTTTGATTCTAGCATTTTGAAGCAAGCATTCTCGTCATATATAGCATTTAGATAAGTCTATCATACTTTTTAGCGATACTCGGAAATTTGTCTTATACTAATCAAAATTATATTCTGTGCAGTTCGTCCCTGATAGAGACAGAAATCGTGCAAATGTTTGACATATATCCAAACCAGACGTAAATGTATATCCTCTCCAAAACACGCCCATCCGATTGCCATTTAGCTTCTTTAAAGCAGTTAAGCTCTCAATGGAAGTTTTCAAGAATGTAATGTACTGTACTTTGATTTTGATATTCCATTTAAGCCTCACATGCGTGTAGTGAAGTCACGGTTAGGGACCTAATTCTGTAATGTACGTTTTAGCCACCTTTGTCCTCGCAGACTAGAGTGGCAAGCAAGTTATGTTGGAACTTTTCAGTAACTCTTCTCCACCTTTCTCCTCCCTTTTTCAAAAGTTTCCACGGTTTTATTCCTATGCCTAAAAACTAAAAGTCCTATTCTTTCCCATTTTTTTTGCTCCCTCGCATCCCATTCCACCCTCTACAAATAGACCGTGTTTGTGTCCTTTAAAATAGGGAGATCTGGTGTGTTTTGAAGTCACACTTTTTTCCACCAATAAAAGTTGACAGTGCTCAATCACAGGGGTGTCCCTAAGAATGTGGCTACAGTTTGACGGTTAAAAACTCTCTTATAAGTCCTTCAGGAAGCTTTAGATACCACGAAAAGTTTTATTTCCGAACGGCCTATCTCACAGTGGCGCTATATGCTGCGGTTTCCTACCGTAATATTACTGTAACGAAAAAAGATCGGTGATATGCTCCATACTGTAAATCAAGTTCAAGCTAGCTCTACAAATGGGACCTAATCCTCCCGAAAAATTTCATGACAAGGGAGCTATTAACAATCAAGCAGTAGGCACATTTTTTGGGGTGGCGTGCAAGAGGAACGATAGCTGGTGGGTGTCAATAACTCGCACACACTTCACCGTCACTTTGTCCATCTGCACTCAGAAAATTCAGAACATTTCCTTTTTTTATGCTTTCATCTAGACAGGAGGATCGTATTGATGTGTTTGCTTGAAAATGAGGTGTGAAAATCAGCTGAAAATGTCAAAAAGGTCTCAAAGGTAAAACTTCAAGTTTTTTAAGCTTATTCCTGCAAGAACATCACCAAATTGCCCATACCACCGGTATTTAAGCAAGACTTTTAAGTAAGTTGAGTAGAGCATTAATTGTATATCTACTATTTTTTATAAGTTCGCAGTTTGCGAATTGTGAAGGCAAATAGTGCATTGGCACCAGCGGCTGGCAATTGCTATCGTTCCTCTTGCACCACACCCTTTCTTACTATGCATGAATGAGAGGCAAATTTTTTGCAACTTCACTCAAAAGCGAAAATGTTCAGAAAGTTGCTTTGCTCACAGGAAAACGTCCGGCACAAAATTCTCTAGCCTTACTCAACACGTCTAAGCCCAATTGCAGTATGCAAATTTCCTACTTCAAAAACGCTCTGCAAGGCGGATAGAGAGGGTGACGATTAGGGCAATGCGGTCATTCCAGTATTCAATATTATCTGTTACCTATACTTATTGTGTTATCTTCCTCATTTGTTGAAACATTGGCTCAGCTTTACCACGCTGTACACCTTCCTACCAGTGTGGCTCATAACTGCGAGGAGTAGTAATGTAAAAGCAGATAAAAAAGAGTGGAAGTCTATATTGTGAGTTAATCGGCAAAAAGTAATTTTGGTCATTTGTGGTAGTTAAAATGTTAATAAAAAATCTTCATGAATGCTTGATATAGCTATAAACACTTACTGAAAAAAATCACATAGTTGATTTTTTTGAGCGGGAGTCGCTTTTATTGATTAAATGGTGCAGGAGGTGACAAACCAAGAAATTTCCAGCAAGTCAAAAATACACGCAAAAAAACTTGACTAAAAGTGATTTGAAATGTACAATGGTACACGCGCATGCGATTTCAAATGCAACCATTTGGGCGTTAAAGCTCAAGCAATCTGGATTGCCTAAAAAAATGACTTAAGTGCGCAAATGTCAAGAAAGTCTTACATTTTTGTCTACAAAAATTTGGAAAACGCAAATCTTTTCGATGTGGTAAGCTACTCAGGCAAGTGTATGTATCGATGAATTACCAATTACCCATCTATGCCCTCGGTACGCTGAGAACGAAACTTAGATGGTCAAAAAAGTGATTTTCCAGAAGGCTAGCCATATAACTGCATAACTGCCATTTATCGATAAAAAATTCTTTGTTATCTGGTATGTGAAATTAAAGATTGAAATTGCCACCTCACAGAAAAACCTTGGCTGAGTAACAGTTAACCAAATTTTTATGAAGTTTCGTAAATGCTTGTCAGAATTATTCATTAGCCAACTTAACAGATAAAAACGAATGAAAACCAAAGGATAATTAGACTTCTTTCAACTTCCCGTTGTTTCTTATCTGCGTTTAGTCATATTCCTCGATCTCTGTATAAACTATGTATTAGATTGTCCGGAAAACGATGTCGCATGGCATGCGACCGCGACAGAATCACCATAAAAAATAGCGAATGGGGTATCATTTGATAGAGCAAAGCAAGCTCTACAAGATGGTTTACAAATTTACGTTCTACGTTTTTTTACAAATTTACAATTCTACGCAGAAATCGTGCTCCACTTAAAGTTCGAATTCAAAATGTAAAAATTTTTAGATATTCGAAAAATAGTATCTCGGTTCATAAACGTCTTATGGATCTCCAATTTGCACAGACATGTACTCTTTACACTAGACATTCACTTGTGTAGATTGTGATATTTTTCCTTGGCTACGGTACGAGAAATAGAATTAGGTCAAAAGCGCGAATATGTCGCGTTTTTCGGGTTTTTTGCAAACAATTTGATTTTTCTCGGAAACTAGCGCTTATATAAAGCTGAAAAAACATGGTTATACTCCTGTAGGTTCATGCTACAGAATCACCCATTTGAGAGAAGCTCAGGATTGTTTTGGCAAAAATGCGCCGTATTTCGTTTTCTCAATTTTCAGCCATGGAAAAACCGCGAAAATGTGCATACAAGTGTCTCGTATAGTGAGTCCATGCGTGAGCAAGTTAGGTTTGTTCGGAACTTTTCTGAACAACGATTTTTTTCGTTTTTTTAGACCTTTAGTGCCAAGTGAAATTTGGTTCCAAACTTCACGCAAATCAAACCCGGAGCAAAGGCTTAAGCTTCATTTTGTAGAGCTGGTTTGGTCTATCGGTTGGCACCCCATTTACTTACTTTCGTGCTCACCCTGCCGCGATTTTGCATGTTAAAATAAAAAGCGACACTACTTTCCGGACAACCTCATACTTTGACATGTTACAAGCTAGTTTAAACACACCTACTTCAACTACCTTCGAAGTTCCGTCATCCTGCGTTCTTCTCAAATTCGTTCTAGTTATTCCTCTTTTCAGTGATGAATGCCACGGACGATCGTCTCGACGAAGTTATTGCTGGCATCATAATGGGGGTGGTAAGTAAGCTTTGCAACTGGGTTGTAAATAATTCACAAATCACTTCAACAGATCGGTACGTTTGGTATAATTATGAATCTAACTGTAGTCTATCTTATCTGTTGCACATCTTCGTTCCACAATGCATTCGGCTACATTTGCGCTTCACATCTATTGGCCGATGTAGGATTATTGACAGCTTTCTTATTTTGGGCTACTCCTGCTTCTTTACTGTGAGTTACACTGCTTTTTTTATCCTAAGTCCAAAAGGCGAGCATATGTTTTGCAGCGGTCTACCGCAAACGGTTACCGATTCACTTGTTGGAAAGAAAATTGGGCAGTTCTCAATGCTTTTTTGGTATGCATCTATGTACGGGCAGCTGCAATTAGCAGTTAATCGGTTGCTGTCTATTCTTACTCCCATACGCTACAAGTAAGTTAGAACTACTGAGTCTTTTTCTTAAAGGCAGCGTCCAGGCAAACCTGGACCTATGGGGCTCTCATGTGGAAAGTAATCTAGAGGCCCTAATTAAGACTGCCCAAAGCGGCAGTTCAGGTAGTGCACTCACGGCTAAGATACTGGGCTTCAAACTATGCCCCGTGACCGTATCCGCATGGATTCGTGGCTCGGCACATCTATTTCGCGTGGATCCTCGCGCGAAAGCGCCGCGAATTCATGAGGATAGATCACGGGGCATCGTTTGGAGCCCAATATCTTAGCCGTGAGTGCACTATCTGAGCTGCCGCTTGGGCAGAGTCTTATTTAGGCCTTGAGATTACTTTCCACGTGAGAGAGCCTTATAGGTCCAGATTTGCCTGGGCGCTGCCTTTAAGTGCGGTACAGGGCTACACTTCGAGACTAACGAGTTTTAAGCCTTTCATCGGAATAACTAGGAAAATTCCTTCACTTGTTTATGCTCTTTTCTAGTTTCCTTTATTCATGAAAAGCTCTTAGAATGCTTTATGCCTACTAGTGTTATTCAAAAAAGCTAAGATTTAGCCAAACTTGTGAATAACGCTCAAGATCAAAAGTGCAAAAGCTTAGATCTCAAGCGCTGTACCTTCTTCTTCTCCCATTGGTCCGAAGTAAGGCACATTAGTTTTTTCTGTCCGACTGAACATTGCTGTTTTCAAGAATTGTAACGGCGCTCTTTATTTCCTAAAACTTTGAGTTAAAAGAATTCATAGACTGAAGAACTTTACCCTTCGGCAACCTTGATTGAATGCTAATGGAACAACTCGTATTATTCAGTTTCTTAGAGCCGACACTTTCAATGATCTTTTGCTTCTTTAATGTGACTCATTAATTCTATAATATAATGGCGGGGTATCTATCGGGAAGATTACAAGAAAGATGAGGTTACAAGACGTTTATGAAATATATAAGATTACAAGACGTTTTTTCTCAATGGAAAAGCTTAAAATCTGATATTACATTTAAAGCGATGACTTATTTTATCTCGCTTCAGTGCAAGAAATAAATGAGCTCTTTAATTAACCAATAAGAATTGAAAAAACGATTTATCGGATCTGTAACACGGAGTACTGTAACATGCCAGTCTTTACCGGCAGCATTTTGTATGATACAATTACTTGACTAAAGATTTTTTATACTTACAAACCAACATCTTTTCAGCAACATCTTCTCAAAACAACGAACATTCCAGATCTTGGGAATCTTTTGGATTATTTCATTTCTGCACATCGTTCTCTACTTCTGGGGTAAGAGTTACCTAGAAAACTTATAACAGCTATTGTAATTAATGGTAAACATGGCGCAAGCTACGGAGAAGTGCTCCAATCTTATTTTCATAGTTCGCAAACCTTTAAGAAAGGTTTAATAATATTAGAGTTTTTCCACTCCAGTGTGAAACTCTCAACAAGAGATTTGTGTCCCACCAAGCTTAAAATTACCGGATTGTCACACCGTCGGTCATGATTAACCGGATTGTCATTTCATTAGTTATGATTATCATAAGTTGATTTATTAGACCCAGGAACAGCAGAAACAATTTCGTTTGGGCTTATAATGGAGTCCCAACAAGGGGGAGTTTTTAAGGTTTGGAACACGGGATCCAATCCTCATGCATCTTTAGAGTTTACCTTTCTTGTTTTCCCGCTACTTCTGAAGCCAGTATTCGCTCGCTCTAAACACAAGTTTTCTTTTCCAGGGCAAGCTTTATTAAAACTGTAGGCAAACATGCTACTGCCCCTTTAGACAATTGTTGTTTGACTTTACGACTCGAATGATTTGCTAAAGAGATTATGGCTGTTTTTGCAGTAATGAGAGTGGGCGAGAGCAATATCCCGAAACCTTATTATCTCGTCAGTTATGGTAAATTAGTGGCCTGACACATTCAATCACAAGTGAAAAGACTTTTCAAAAAATTCTTTAGGTACCATTTTATAGAGCGAGGTTCAACTTAGATTTACAGTGTAGAGCGGATCGCCGATCTCTCATTCTTACTGTAGGATTACGGTAGAAACTTTGAAGAGGGTTTCGAGCCATGAAAGGTCATATTTTGTTCCAAAAGGAAACCAAAACATTTTGAAAAGTATCACACTGGACTAACTAGAGTTGCTGATTCTAGATGTGAAGTTCGCAACTCTTCGTAACGCTTCATTAAAAAATTATGCGAGGTAAGCAGTAGCAGACGTTTTTTAAGTGTTCCTAAAAAGTGCGGTTACACCGTTTAGAAAACTTCTCAACCTTGTAAAGAGTTGGATGTTGAACTCAGGGTCCATAAAAACCCTATTATACAAATTTCCACATTTTTTTGAACATTTTTGAAACGGCCGCTTCTTTCACAGTGACATCATATGTTTGAAGTTTCTACCGTACTCCTACAGTAAGAATGAGCGATCGGCGATTCGCTCTACACTGCAAATCTAAGTTGAACCTCGCTCTACAAAATGGTACCTAAAGCTTCTCGAAACACTTCACTACAAGAGAGTTATTTACAACCAAACAGTGTGCACATTTTTTTGGGACACCCCGTATAAAATGAAATTAGCAGTCAGATAAAAAAATTCTCTAACTGAGTGGGTAACATCACCCATCTTCATTAAGAAAATTTTTTTGTCCCCCCCCCCCCATCCCTAAAGGGGAATCTTGGCGCCACTGCCACCATGTAAATAAAAGGCATCTAAACAAGGACAAAGATCAAAGTAAAGGAAGAGGGAAGTTATGGCCTTACTTTTTTGAGCCAACATTTTTCTTACATAGTTTTTTCTCCTTGAACGCATATACAGTGCAAATCAAGTTATATGTGCGCAAACGACTAGTCCGTATAAGTTAGTATAACAAAATTTTCACTTTTGGTTTTTTTGATTCCGGTATCCATGGGATACATGCAGTTTTTCTTTGAGTTCCGCCTGTACAACACCTCCTTTCTTTTTATCTTTAAAACGATATCCAGCTTGCACAGATATCACCCGTGCCGAGTTCTAAGTTACATAATGTTGGTCGTTGAACTCCGGAACTTGATTGCATTGATTCGCCTAAGGTCTTTGTAAGAAAAAGAAAATTTGTCATAGCAGAAAACATAAAGAAACGATTGTTGGGTCACGATAAGTTAATAGAAAGGAATCTTTCCTCCGCAAACTTTTCTTAATCACACACTTTCCACTCAAGCTTACCATTGTACTTTTCAGATGGCTGCGACTTCAGATACGATGTTCATTCGCTAGCGTGGTTGTACGCGGATACACCTTGCGGTACGCTCATCTCGTTTTATGGAGACTTTGCACATGGTACAGCTCTTTGCATTATTGTCATATCCATGAACACAGTCACTTGTGTGGCAATTTGCAAAGAAGCAAAGGTATTTGCTTTTATTTGAAACAAGACATTCTTCTAGTCTGCAGAAATGTTTTGAAATGGTTCACTTTCAGAGGTTGTCTCGCTCAACTAATCGAGCAAATGACATGGCGAAATTCAAAAGAAATATCCAGTTGTATATACAGGTTGATAGCTCTTTGGAGATTGGCCAAGACTTTGATGCCCATATCTTTCAGGTCTGCATACAAGCTTGCTGCTTTGCCTTAATGATCTCGTCTTTCCATCTGATATCCAGACTAACGCAAGGAAAGTGGCCATCATTCTTTTTAACAACATTTGTTTGGGAAACTTGTCATGCACTTGATGGGTATGTACTAAAAAATAAGTGTACTACAGCTCCACTTTTATCTCTGATTTAGAGTAATCATGTTTTTCTGCTGTGATAACTTCCGCAGGATTTTGTGTCGGCCTGCCAACATACTTCGTATTCAACTCAATGGAGAAAAAATAACGAAAAGCGTACTCATCAGTACGCGGTTTGTTGATTTCAGATTTATAACTTAATTTAACAAGATTCGCAAAAATATTACCTTGTAAAGAATTCCTTTCATCTTTCACAATAGGGCAGTAAAAAGTTGAAGCGGCCAAAACTACAGATTTGCACACCACTTAAGCTTAACCCTGATCTGAAATTGTCTTCACTATTCGCTGAATGCGTCTGAAGAAGAAGTTATAAATGACTTAATAAATGTATTTTGTGGATGCAGTTGCAGATCTTGCTATGTAGGTGCTTTTGAAGTCCAGTCTTTAGGCTGTAACTTCTGAACCACAATGCCAGATATGTTTTTGGGTCGCATGTAAATTTTACTTGCATTGAAATCGTTCATAACTTCTCTTACAATGGTGCTCTGCACATCTAGAAACCAGTCTCAAAATAGCTCTCCACTCTGCACCTGTTATTTTGGCTAGTCTACCTTCGTCTTCCGACCATAAACTTGTTAGCTTTGAAGCGCTTTGCCACATTTGAAAGTTCATGAATGAGTCGAATCCTCAAAAACCAAAAATATTTGGTAAAGCCCTCTACGATGTTTTTTCAGGACAAGAATCTGAATCGTTGCATGTGTTTTGTTGTTGGCATTTCTGACATATTATGCACAAATTTGGAAGCGGTTAGCAGAAGAATTCACTGTAATTGCACATATGCCTGTTGGATTTCTTATAGAAATAAAGTCATTTACAGTTTGGGCAGAAGATTTGCAGCTGATAATGAATGAAGAAATTATAACAATTATAAAAGTTCTCGTGTTTTTCTTTCACTTTTACCATTCATTCCCAAATGGATGAGTTCCCATTCTGGTTAGCGCGGAACTAGTAGAAGTCTCCTTTTTTCTAAGTTCTTTGCTGCAGCCTATGCTCTCGAGGCACTAAAAATATCAGCGGACCATTGATGATGTTTATTTTATGTTAGTAGCGTGATGAAATGGCAGGATCGATCATCACCGCTTTTAATGCAAAAAGTTGCTGACACTAGTCAGGCACCAGCCTTATGTAGCGGGATGGGACGCTGTTGCTCAAGGCTGTTGAGATTACGAGAAGCTGGTTGAGGTTACGAGCGCCTGTTTTCAATGGAATACTTTTTCTAAGGCCATGGCCATACCACTCGGATTATAGTAGCGACACGATTTGACAATATTCGAATCGTCAATAACTCATCATGGGCGCATCTCAAACGCGCCGAAAAGATGGAATATTTTGGCAATTTACGAAAGTTGTACAGACTATGCATTTGCGCTGTGCCAATGTTGGACTTAAGGCCCCGGACAGACTTCACGCGACTCAATCGTCGCGATCTAATCGCCAAGATTTCCATTCATTTTGATTTCACATTCAAAAATTTCGGGCTGGAAAAGTATCACAACCGAATGCAAGTTGATCGGCATGGAATGATGTTGTAACAGTTGTCTCGTCGCGATTCACTCAGACACTCGCGGTTGAGTCGCGCAGGGCAAAACGATGTGTCGTCAACGAATGCCTGGGCGACTCGCGAAATCGGTGTCGCGGCAAAATCAGGACACCTGATTTTGTGTCGCGGCAAAAGTGCGCGACAAAATCGGGGCAAAATCGGGACACCTACGCGAGACACCAAAATGTCCCGATCGCGTTCAGAGCACGCGGCCTACGCCCTTATTTAATAGGTTCTTGCGTCTTCTGTGCCCTTTCTCACGCCTCCCTTTTCACTTACCTAACGTCCTTAATCTTTTTGGGTCCCACTTCTTATGCTTGTAACTTCTCTGCTTATAAAACACAGTCTTACGTCGCGAAATTTATTAACAAATAGACAAGATCTTCTCAGCGTTTACAATAACATCGAAATGACATGCACAGTCAGCAGCAAGTATAGGAATCAAAGCACCGCAACCACAACACAAGCTTACGAAAGAACTACGATTAAGAATGGCAATAGCATTAATTTTCTACGACTACTTCAACTTCATCTTCAACGTTTTCAGTCTTCTGGATCGTTACGTCTTCTTTGGTAACACTGCTGCCTTCGACCATGACGCGCTTTTTCTGAAAATAAAAAATTATTGTTACCAGGATCGTATGAAACAAATGAATCCCTTTGATGGAAGGAGCATGGACCTATCAGGGTCAAAATGATACCTCCGAATGTCTTCCCTGCAAAATTATAGTTCAGAAGTATCGCTTCTTTATGAGAAAACTCACAAAGCTCTCCCAATTGCTATCCTCGCTTTACCGCTCCATGTTCCTCTTTTCTCTGAGAGGACGTATAATTTTTCGCGAGCGTCGTCATTTTCGGCTAAGTCCAACCACCACCTAAATTCTAGTGCACATGAAGGTCTTTCGAGAACTTACTATACATACTTATTCGGATTCCGTTTATGCTCATCTGGCGTCCGCAGAAGTTGGTCGCGGTATAGGCCAAGAGCGTCAAGGATGAAACCTAAATTAGTTATTGAAAGTAATGTACTCAAACACACATTGACCCACTTATTAAGAAATTGACTAATCCTTCCGGGAGGTCCTTCAGATGGTCAAATTTTCCCTTCTTCCCGCTCTGTCTACAGGCGTACTGTTGAATTTCCGTAGGTGGTTCGCAGGCCTAAACGGTGATTACAAGACAACCTTATCATCTTCATCTATTTGTCGCTTACATTTAGAAAGAAGTGGCGCAAAAAGTCGAGCACCAAAAGGAAATGATCATGCTTATCATGCTGATCATGATATCAATGATCATGGTTATCAGTCTGCTACTCCTTAAAAGGAGTAGCAGACTACATGAAAACATGTAAGCTCAGAATGCACAAGAAAAGAACTGGGAGAAGACAGATTCATCGAATAACAAAGGTAAAAAAAAACTTGTGATGAAAATGACAGCAGTTCATCAGGAAAAAAACTCCCTAGCTTTCTGACGCAATCCACGTATCCTTCTATATATATAAAACCGAATGGTGTACTTGTCTGTACGCTGGTGGATGCTGTCTGTACGTCCTCGATGGTGTTTTTCTGGTCGATGGTGTTTTCGTGTATGTTGTTTTCCAGTATGGAAACTTGTTACTGCTCCTACCAAGTTTATCGATTACTCGCAAATTTTGAGGTACGGGGCTGGGAGTTGGAGCGAAGGGGTAAGCGAACATGCTGATTACGAATACAATATTAGTTTTTAGAATTATCAATTACTTCCATCATTTTATCGATTTCTTGCAAAGTTCGAGCTACGGCGCTGAGAGTTGGCACAGGGGGGTAAGCGAACATGCTGATTACGAATATGATAACCATTTTCAAAAATGCCCATTACTTTTATCATTTTATCAGTTGGTGTGCAAATTTTTAACTATGGGGCTGGGAGTTGGCAAAGGGGGGTAAGCGAACATGCTGATTACGATTACAATATTAGTTTTTAGAATTATCAATTGCTTTTATCATTTTATCGATTTTTTGCAAAGTTCCAGCTACGGCGCTGAGAGCTGGCAAAAGAGGGTAAGCGAACATGCTGATTACGAATATGATAACCATTTTCAAAAATGCCCATTACTTTTATCATTTTATCAGTTTGTATGCAAATTTTTAACTATGGGGCTGGGAGTTGGCAAAGGGGGGTAAGCGAACATGCTGATTACGATTACAATATTAGTTTTTAGAATTATCAATTGCTTTTATCATTTTATCGATTTTTTGCAAAGTTCCAGCTACGGCGCTGAGAGCTGGCAAAAGAGGGTAAGCGAACATGCTGATTACGAATATGATAACCATTTTCAAAAATGCCCATTACTTTTATCATTTTATCAGTTTGTATGCAAATTTTTAACTATGGGGCTGGGAGTTGGCAAAGGGGGGTAAGCGAACATGCTGATTACGATTACAATATTAGTTTTTAGAATTATCAAATGCTTTTATCATCTTATCGATTTTTTGCAAAGTTCCAGCTACGGCGCTGAGAGTTGGCACGGGGGGGGGGGGTAAGCGAACATGCTGATTACGAATATGATAACCATTTTCAAAAATGCCCATTGCTTTTATCATTTTATCAGTTTGTATGCAAATTTTTAACTATGGGGCTGGGAGTTGGCAAAGGGGGGTAAGCGAACATGCTGATTACGATTACAATATTAGTTTTTAGAATTATCAATTGCTTTTATCATTTTATCGATTTTTTGCAAAGTTCCAGCTACGGCGCTGAGAGCTGGCAAAAGAGGGTAAGCGAACATGCTGATTACGAATATGATAACCATTTTCAAAAATGCCCATTACTTTTATCATTTTATCAGTTTGTATGCAAATTTTTAACTATGGGGCTGGGAGTTGGCAAAGGGGGGTAAGCGAACATGCTGATTACGATTACAATATTAGTTTTTAGAATTATCAAATGCTTTTATCATCTTATCGATTTTTTGCAAAGTTCCAGCTACGGCGCTGAGAGTTGGCACGGGGGGGGGGTAAGCGAACATGCTGATTACGAATATGATAACCATTTTCAAAAATGCCCATTGCTTTTATCATTTTATCAGTTTGTATGCAAATTTTTAACTATGGGGCTGGGAGTTGGCAAAGGGGGGTAAGCGAACATGCTGATTACGATTACAATATTAGTTTTTAGAATTATCAAATGCTTTTATCATCTTATCGTTTTTGCAAAGTTCCAGCTACGGCGCTGAGAGTTGGCACGGGGGGGGGGGGTAAGCGAACATGCTGATTACGAATATGATAACCATTTTCAAAAATGCCCATTACTTTTATCATTTTATCAGTTTGTTTGCAAATTTGAATCATGGGGCTGGGAGTTGGCAAAGGGGGGGGGGGTAAGCGAACATACTGATTACGATTACAATATTAGTTTTTAGAATTATCAATTGCTTTTATCATTTTATCGATTTTTAAAGTTCCAGCTACGGCGCTGAGAGCTGGCAAAGGGGGGTAAGCGAACATGCTGATTACGAATATGATAACCATTTTCAAAAATATCCATTACTTTTATCATTTTATCAGTTTGTTTGCAAATTTTGAACTATGGGGCTGAGAGTTGGCACAAGGGGGGGGGGTAAGCGAACATGCTGATCAGAATATGATAACCAATTCAGAAAATACCCATTACTTCTATTGGTTCAATTGATTTTTTGCAATGTTTGAACCACGGCGCTGGGGGTGTTGGTACAGGCAGGTAATTGAGCATGCTGCTCACGAACACGTTCTTATTTTACAAGTTATCATTTACCTTCACTGGCTTTATCGATTTTTTGCAAAGTCTAAGCCATGAAACTGGGATTTGGCACATGGGAAAAAGCGAGCATGCCGATTGCGATTATAATAAGTGTTCTTGAATGTACCTATTATTTCTGTCGATTTTCTATTCTTTGTAAAATTAGAGCTACATGCCTGGTATTTGGCACAAAGTTGTATGTGAGCACGCTCACTGCAAAGATAGTAACCTTTTTTGAGATTACCCATTACTTTTATTGATTTCATCGTTTTTCAACTGAAGCTACGAGGCTGAGATGGCACTGGTCCGGGGGTAAGTGAGCATGCTGAGAATTCTATAGACGGTAAATTTACCCAAAGTTGTTATAGATTCACTTTGGCCCGCCTTTACT